ATAATTAAAAACAAGTTTAACACCTTATTTTTCTTAAATTAAAAATGAAAGATAAGGTACCACAATGACAGGAACCATCTATTTAAATTTTGTACGCTTCAAATCACAAGCTGTAATTAGCTCAAGCAATTACATATAAAAATATGCCATCTCAAGCCACCAAATCAATCAGGTTTCCAAGGTCATGAAGGCATTGTAAGCATCATCTGTCACATTGAGCTTGTAGAGCCAGATCAGGTAAACACACCTGTCCTCATGAAAAGATGACATTTTAGCCAGGCTCGGTGGCTCAGCCTGTAATCCCGCACTTTGGGAGGTTGAGGTAAGTGGATTGCCTGAGCCCGCGGGTTCGAGACTCGCCTGGGCAACTTGGCGAGACCTCATCGCTACAATAAATCAAAATGAGCTGGGCGTGGTGGCGCGCGCCTGTAGTTCCAGCTACTTGGAAGGCTGAGGCGGAAGGAATGCTGGAGCCCAGCAGGTCAAGGCTGCAGTGGTCTGGAGTGGCCACTGCACTCCAGTCTGGGCAACAGAGTAAGACACCAACTCAAAAAAGAAAAGAAAAGATGACATTTTAAAGCTGACTCATTTTTAATACCTCAGATTTAAAACTTATAGGAGAAATAGTAAAGTAGTATAGTAAGAGTCCTTACTGTACACCAGTTAAAAACAAATAACAAAAACTATTTTACTGCCTAGTTCATAACAGAAGACATTTCTAAGATTCAGAACATTTGTATAAAATTGTTGTAACCATCCCCTAAGTTTCATTATTCATTCACTTAGAGTGGTACACTCATGGCCACCCTAGCCTCGACCTGCTGGGCTCAGATGATCCTTCTGCTTCAGCCTTCCAAGTAGGTGGAACTACAGGCACGCGCCACCATGCCCAGCTAATTTTTTTATTATAGAGACGAGGTCTCACCAAATTGCCTAATCTGGTCTCGAACCCCTGAGCTCAGGCAATCGTCTCGCCCCAGCCTCCTAAAGTGCTGGAATTACAGGTATGAGCCACAGTGCCCGGCCGGTTTCATTTATTTAACCCTTTTTTGTATGTGGAATCCAAAAGAAGTAAACTGTGTCTATGAAACATGATTCTCTTATGTCTAGAATCCTGAAACTTCAAAATGAGGTACTTAGTAATGTTTTCTCTAGATGCCATTTATTGGAGCAATAAGCACACCTCTCCAAATATCCAAGAACCACAGAAAATATGATAGCAAAAGACAATTCATATACAGGTACGTGTAGTACAACCACAAATTTCCTCTCTACACAGAATCACAGAATCCTCTCTATACTTCTCACTCCCAAACCTTTTGGACCTAAAAACAGTAGTCACAGCCACTCTATACTAAAGACATGCAAAAGTAGATTCCATGATCAACAGAGCAGTTTTCAGATATCCAAATGAAACAGGGCTGGTGGATCTTCCCAAAACAATTCCAGACATCAAAATTCCTTTGTTAAAGAAGAATAACTAAAATTTTTAAGTCACGGGAACCCTTTTTAAAAACTCAGTCTCCAGCCGAGCTTGGTGGCTCACGCCTGTAATCCCAGCACTTTGGGAGGCAGAGGCGAAAGGATTGCCTGATCTCAGGGGCTCAGAACGAGTCTGAGCAACATAGCAAGACCTCGTCTCTACTATAAATCAAAAAATTAACCAAGAGTGGTGGCACACACATAGCCATGAGCATGCCACTACATTCCAGCCTGGGTGACAGAATGAGACTCCCATTCAAAAAAAAAGAATCAACCACAGTTGCACTTAAAAAAAAAAATCTTGAGCCGGGCTCGGTGGCTCAGCCTGTAATCCCGCACCTTTGGGAGGCGGAGGTGAGTGGATTGCCTGAGTCCGCAGGTTAAAGACCCGCCTGGGCAGGCGAGACCTCATCTCTACAATAAATCAAAAAATTAGCCGGGCGTGGTAGCGCGTGCCTGTAATTCCGGCTACTTGGAAGGCTGAGGCGGAAGGATCGCTGGAGCCCAGCAGGTTGAGGCTGCGGTGGCTGGGAGTGGCCACTGCACTCCAGTCTGGGTGACAGAATGAGACTCCGACTCAAAAAAAAAAAATCATGCATTTATAGTTATATAGGAAGAATAAATTCTAGTGTTCTATACCAATGTTGGAGGACCACAGCTAACAATAATATATACTTTCAAATTGCTAGAAGAATACTAAATGTTCCTATCACAAAGAAATAATAAATGTTTGAGATTATAGATATGCTAATTACCTTGATCTGATCATTATACTTATATGTATCACAACATTCCTATATACTCCATAAATAGGTACAGTTATTATGTGCCAATTAAAAAATTTTTAAGTCATGCATGAACAAAGTCACAAAAAAGAGTCACATCATCACAATTTCTTTGTTTGTTTTTAAGAGACAAGGTCTCACTCTGTGACCAAGCATCGAGGTACAGTGGCACAATTATAGCTCACTGCAGCCAGGCACGCACGCCATGCCTGGCTAAAACTTTACTTACCTGAATCCATCTTGCTGCTGATACTGTTGACCCTTCAAAGATTCCTTTAGCTCAAATTCCTCCCTTATGAGCACCTGTTCTACTCGCTCTCCATTCCTGATGATACCATATCACACCTTACCAGCCTCAAGGTTTGTGGGTCTTTTGCTTTTTTCTCCTCTCTATATACAACCAATCCAGCACAAGATTCTGTCCTACTTAGTTCTCATCATACCTTCCCTTCCATCTTCACGTGACATCCAGAATCAGGAAATGCACTCAGAAAAGAACTACGTAAAAGCCAACAGAGACATATTGGTGGGATTCCCAACAACCTCATCTCTCTTTATTCAAGGCCGAGTGATCCACAGCTGCTACAAAATTTCTAACAAGAATATAATTACTCTACTTCATTATGTCTTAAGAGTCGCCAGAGACAATCAACATAGCCTAGAATGACAAACATAAGCCTCGGTTATTCGTTTTCCCTTCCCTAACAGTTCATTCCCAATACCAATTGGTATGGTAGAACACCTGTGCAGGGAGAAGGAGGGAGGACCAACCACAAAAGATTCTGAGGCCAAGTAAGATGAAAAGTGCTCCTCCTGGGGGGAGTGGGACAGAAGGGATGGGAGAAGGGTCACAGTGAAAAGACTGAGGAGATAAATATACCAAGGATAACAAGTCACACACACACACACGCCCCTCAGTCCACACAGAGCGCCTAGGAGAAATGACACTCCAATTAGCTTCCAGCATACGTAGCACCCAGAACTTGGCTTTGAAGCAGCGCTTGTCAATACAAGAAACCAAAGCTCCTTAGACACAAAGCAAATACCAGGGCTGAGGCGGCAAAGAACACGATGAACCTGGAACATTCTGTTGTGCCAGGGCATAAGGCTGGAAGGATGACAGGGACACATCAAAAGGACAAAAAAGCCAGCCTGAATGGGCTTCATGGATTAGATTCAGGATCTGGGACACTCAACATCAGAATAAATAATGATAGTCACAGATTATAGCCCTTTGAATAAAACAGGAAGTGAGTCTGTGCAGACATAATTATGATAAAGATTACGAAAAATATAGATACAGTGTCAAAGGACATCCCCCCAAAATACTTATCATTTACAATAGTTGAAATTATAACTTTACATTGAAGACTTCTGACTGGCCCACCATAATTGAATGATCAATATGAACTCTATCTGGAAAAAGACAGACTCAAATCGTATCCCACTACAGAAGACCCAAAGACAAGAATGAAAAACAACTTCTGTGATATTCCTTCTAAAAACACAAGCCTGAATGGAATGAGGAATCATCAGGCAACTCAAGTTAAAGGATCTTATACAAAATAATTAACCTATAATTTTCAAATGTCAAGGTCAAAGACAAAACAATGAGGAACTATTGCAGACTAAAGAGACTATAGACGATTAAAGGCATCACCTGATTCTGAACTGGATCCTTGTGCTCTAAACTTGGACATTATAAAGCACTGGAATGAATATGAAATAGGCATTTGAGGATGGCAGGGTGGTAGAGTATCACTGTGAACATCCTCGTTTTGAGGGATATAGGAGAATGTCTTCATTTTAAGGACATACACACTAATGAATTGAGTGAGGGGTGATTGGTGAAAACTTAATGCTCAAATAGTTCAGGGAAAAGTTATCTGTAAGGTACTTCAATCTTTCTGTGACTTATTTCAAAATGTTAAATTTGTTTAAGTAACCCTGAACCTTGCGGCTTTCCAATAGCAAAGTGGCCCTCCATCTGCTCATTTTCTCTCAACTAACCTCAACCCGAGGAGCTCTCTGTATTCATGACTTCCTGCCTCTCCTCTCCAACCATCATTTCCTCTGGAAGCGTTCTACATTCTCTAAGTGTTTCTTTCCTCCTATTATTAAAAAACTTAGTTTCTGTAATAACCACTTTCCCTTGTAAGTCCATTCAAATCCCAAATCCTCATCTTGCCTCTGTTAACTGGCCCTATTTACACATATGGGTTAATATTTTCACTATTAATTAGAAAGACTCAGAAAGTACTACAGCTGTTGTCTTTAATGCAGTACAGTGATGCCCTCATCACAATGGCTTATTGACGGGAGCAAAGGAGACTTCATATCCCCACACAACTCCCTCACCATTAAAAAAAATTACCAAACAAAACAGGAAGTCAACAATGTGTGTTTTAAGAGGTGCTGGTGTAGATCGAGAAAAGTCAAATGATAAAAATGCAACCCCTGTAACCAAGCGCTGAAAAGTCCATAAAGAGGTGGAAGAGTCAAATGAAAATTGAAGAAATAGGAAGACACACAAAAAATAGATGTTTCAAAAGCCACACCTAGAACACACTCTCTTGGCAGGATTTCTCACTTTTAGTTTTCCCTCAAGCCAGGCTAAGGACGGAAAGATGACCACAGCACACAGCAAAGGTAATGGTTACTACCTGTACAAGGTTTTATTTCTTTTGCTTTCAACCAGGCCAGTCCTTGCAATGAACAGGAATGTAGTCTTACCTCGAAGGCAGAGAAAGGTAAGAAAATCTTCTGTCTTAGGCTTCCTTTTAGAGAGGTCCGAAATCTGAGTAGCTGGAGGGGGTAGCAATGGCTCCACTATCTTTACTGGAGTTGTGCTGGGACTATTCGGCTGAGATTGAGCAAACTTCCTTTGTGCTTGCAGCCTGGGCCTATAAAAGCAAAAGAAAATTAAAAATAAATTAAGCAGAGACCAGAGGATGTAGACCTATGTGCAGCAATAAAATTATGACACGTGAGGGAAAAAAGATCCTATTTCAAGCAAACTCTTTCTAATTAAGGTTCTGTATCTCTCAAGTTCTCATAAACCACAGCCCTGCTTTAAAATGCAATAAATTTGGTTAAAAGGTTGTGTTTTATATAAAATATGTACATGAAAAACATGTATGTACAAGGGGGAACCCAAAACCAGAATGTATTTATTAAAAACTATGTATTTATTCTTACATGCTTAAACTCTAGACACCTTCAAAGCACTCTCCATTTGATGCAATACACCTATCAAGACACTTTAGCCACTGTTCAAAACAGTGTTTGAATCCATCAATTTGAATGCTTTTTAGTGTTTCTGCCATTTTTTTGTCTCACCTCTTACACATCGACAAAATGTTTCCCTTGGAAGACTTTTTTCATCAGGGCAACAAAAGTCGCTTGGGGCGAGATCAGGTCAATAGAGAGAGAGTAGGGCACAGAGGTCATGTCACTCTTGGTAAACAAACAAACTGCTGAACACTCAGCACGTTTTTGGCAGGTGCACTGTCATGATGGAAGGAGCAGGCACCTGCTTACCACAACAGGTTTCTTCTGCAAAATGTGATGCAACTTCTTCAAAGCTTCCAGATAAAAATTTTGTCTATTTGATCTGAAGGAAAAAACTCCAAGTGTACTGCAAGTGGCCTGCCCTCAAAAGACAATTCCAGTTTTGGGGGGGATCCTCCCTCTTATATATGTGTACAAGTGCATGCCTGTGTACAAACCACATGTGTGCCCAAGTAGATAAGAATGGCAGAGTTTGACAGCACGAGTTTAATGGTGTTCACACTTTTATTTCAGCCCACAGTAAAGAAGAAAATGCTACATTCATACAACGTCCTATGTGTTCATCTAACAGTGTCACAAAGCCATACACAACTCCATTCTTAGTGGGTCTTTAAACCCAGTCCACTTTTGTTCATTTATCCACCACTGTCCCAGTCTTCTGACCCAGATGAAGAAATGCTTGCCACCTCTAATTTCTTCTGAATTCAGTCTTTAAGAAAGTTTACTACAATAATTCAACCTTGTAATGCAGAAAAAAACTATGTTTAATTTGCCCACCCCCTTCAAATCTCGCCAAATTATGGATTACCTTCTGCTGACAAGGTCAAGTCCAAACTCTTTAGGTAAGAATTGAAAAACAAAAATCTGCCTTTAGGACTCTTTCCCATTACAAATTGACATTAACTCCCTAACATGTCCATTTTATGTCTGTGGAGAACAACAGACATTTCTTTAACTAGAGACACCTTTCATCTGAAAAGTCTTATGTGTAAGACATTCCTTTATGTCAATATGAATCCTAATATAACTTGGGAAAGTTACCTTTCTTCTTTCCTAACAGTGAATTTTCCATTGTCTACATGCATAAAGTATACTAACACATTTTTTATTTTGTGCTCAACTAATCTGATCAAAATCCTAGCTCTTCCTCTAACTCTAAGGATCACTACACATTAGGGAACGGTAAGCATCTCCGTGTATAAGAATTCACTTGTGTATTTCTTTAAAATGTCTACCTAGATCTGCTCAGAGAGATGTTAAAGAAATATTATTCAGCTGGACACAGTGGCTCACACACTTTGGAAGGCAGAGGCAAGAGGACTGTCTAAGCTCAGGGGTTCAAGACCAGTCTGAACAACATGGTGAGACTTCTTCTCTACAATAAATCAAAAAATTAGCCAGGCGTGGTGGTGCACACCTGTAGTTCCAGGTTCTTGGAAGGTTGAGGCCAAAGGATCGCCTGAGCCCAGCAGGTTGAGGTTATGGTGGCTGTGAGCGTGACACTGCACTCTAGCCTGGGTGACAGAGTGAGACTCTGACTCAAAAAAAAAAAAAAAAATGTTATTCAAGGATAGGAAGACAGCAAAAAGAACCAAAAAGCAGCCCATGGTATAGGGCACAAAACAAATCAAATCAGTATCAAACACTGTGTAGGACTGATAATCCATCTCACCCAAACAACTGGGTAAAAAAACTGAAAGTAAAAAGATGCAGATGTATTTGTAAGTCATAATTAAGTCTTCCTTTGCACACTTATTGTTAGGAGTAGATTATATAAGATAGTAAGTACAGTACCTTAAACTGCTGATAATCAAAATACCATTAACATTTTAAAGTGAAAATTAATACCCCCTCAAATTCTTCAATCCCCAAAATATTAAGTATCACAATGCTATAAGGTATTTAGTCTCACCTTGCTTAATTAGTACAATAATTTCCTTGATGCAACTTACCTCTCATTTTAACCTTAACTACCCTTGTATATTAAACACCATCTATTCTTGCTTCCCTGTAACTCAACAAAAACACTGTGTAAATTATATTCCTGATACAAACTGACATTCAATCAAAATGGAGAAAGCATGATGTCAATTACTTTACTGGGCAATCTATAGTCCTTTAAAAATCTACAAACGGCTGAGGTGAGTGGATTGCCTGAGCCCGCAGGTTTGAGACCCGCCTGGGCAGCAAGACCTCATCTCTACAATAAATCAAAAAATCAGTCGGGCATGGTAGTGCATGCCTATAATTACAGCTACTCAGAAGGCTGAGGCGGAAGGATCGCCGGAGCCCAGCAGGCGAGGCTGCGGTGGCCAGGAGTAGCCACTGCACTCCAGTCTGGGCAACCGAGTAAGACTCCAACTCAAAAAAAAAAAAAAAAAAATCTACAAACACCATAGCTCATCAAAAGCACTTTAGAACCCAGCAATAACTGATGTGAAACAGTCACAATAATGCAGTATTGGGAGAAAGTAAACCAAGTTTAACAGAAACTTCCAAGTGTTATTTTTTAAAAGGGAATAAGGCAATGCCACTATCTCTATGTACTGAGGATCAAAGAGCTTTCTGGCAACCGACTGACAGCCTATATATAAGACGTGACAGACCAGAAAGGTGGACTGAGGAAGCTGCTAAGCCCAGAGGAGGGACCTCCATGGGGGACACAGAAGGATCAGAGAGAGGTGGTGGGAGGATATTCAGACAACCGTGAAGCAGTGCCTTTCAAATGGTCTTAGATGAGGAGGAGCTTTGTTTCGTTACTTCTCCCCTGCCTTAAATTTGCTATCTGTCGCAAATAGGTGTGTCTGTGTGTGTACATAAAATTAAACAATAAAACTATGGGGAAAGGGCCACAAAAAAAGATAAAATACAAGCCCAAATAATCGTCAAGGGACTCAGTTTCTATGCTCAATTCTCCAGCACCGGGTGGCAGCCACATCTTGAGCAAAGAAAGGAAAGGCTATGGAATATGGAAACACTCAAAACAGTCCAACAGGCCATCAGGTGGACTGACCCCAACAGAACTCCCTACTTTTCCAACAAGGCTTCCCCTTCCCATCAACCTTCCGTCTGTTTTAAAACAAAAGAAATTTTGTGTCAGATTCAGAAAAACTGTTTTGTTGTTCTTGTTGTTCTTGTTGTTCTACTGAAAAGTTTCTTTAATTGGCAATTACATAGTGTATACATGTTCATTTCAATGGACAATTCACACTGTGAGTATTGCAGGGATTTTATAGAAATACCGCCTGCATGTGAACAGGATGTTAAGCGTTTCCTGCATTTTTAGAAGTCAGGGAAAACAAATGCCACACACGATGGGAAGACTGTGTAGCCATAATGAGAAACAAACAAGTAAACACAGACGAAGCACAGATGACGGACCAAGACACCACGAGTTATTTTACAATTTCAGGACCTCAAGATAAACTGCTCCTACCACTGTTCAAAGAAAAAGTACTTTACGCCTGATGACTCTTCCCAGTGAGACTATGAAAAATAAGGCAAGAGCAGATTAAAAAGTGGCAGCAAAATAAATTACCCCTTAGAGCAAGAAGCCAAACTCCCAAGTGATTAAGTACTTGTGAGGCCCAGATGAAACCAGAAACTAAAGAACAAGACAAACCAATATCTTTTTTAAAGAGGCTGGAAGAACCCATACCATCCACAAAGGGCAGGTCTGTGGTATGGCTCCTCCTCCCACAGTCGCATGAGGATGACAAAGGTGTTGATCTGCTGCCCTGCCCCCTACAACCAAAGACCTTGAATGACAACTTATGCAAGTCCTCAGAGTTAAGTACCCCTACCAATGCAGGTTGATTTCAGGGACAGGTGGTTCCTTCTAGAATGACGGATACAGGGAAATGGAGGGGGAGTGATTCTGATGTACTGGAATATTTGCTGTGAGCAGAGAGGCTAGAGCACAGGAAGCAGAACCCCAGGGAGGGAGGAGGAGGCTGTCGAGCAGGTGTGAGGAGGGCGGTGGGGTTCTACCCAGCCTGCAGGGACCCGGCCTCCAGGGGGGTGGCATTCTTACCCACTGCACCACCTGCTTTCCCCTTCCTGCCACCACCAACGGGCATGTTCACCAGGAACCCCCCCCCCCACCATTCCAGTATTAGAGCAAAATGCTTTAAAATGAAAACGCTGGCCTAAGAAAGGTTTGGAGTCATTAGGAAGGTTGGAGTGTGACAAGCACCAGGGTTCTGGGGCTGAGGGAGAAAAAGAAGAATGTTTGAGGGTAAAATAGAATGTAGGGTTCCTAACGTCTCTGGGCCTTGAGTGTACCCTGGATGGCCCCTCACAGATGGGATGATCCAGGCAACACAGAGCAAAGTCCCAGAGAGGTGTCCCTCACACAATCCAAAGAATTAGCCATGAGAGCCATGTTTGTGTTTCAATAGTTTTTCAAGGGATCCCTTTCAGAAGACACCTTCATTCTAGGAACTCAATATGTATGTACCTTCTGTCAATGAAACCAATTAATTCAAACCGTCCAGTGAGCCAAGATGAACAGGCCAAATCAAGGAAATGTAAACCAACAGAGGAAGAAATATGCTGACATATGAATCTATATGTTGAGAGGATAATATTTTTTTTACAATATGGTAAAA